TCATATCCTTTGACAATTTATCTACTGGGAAATGGTCCTTCTTATAAATTTGAATCAGCTTCTTACACATATTAGAAATGAGATCTTTATGATAGAAACTTGCTGCATGGTTTCTCTCTTAGTAACCTATTTGCATTATATCTTAGCTACATTAGTTTTGTTTGCGAAAACCCTTTTTAATTTATGTAGTCACGATAGTTTATTTTTTCTTTCATGAACCTCTTCACATCTTGTTTTGGTCATGAACTCTTCCCCTGACCATAGATCTGAAAGATAATTTCTTCCTTGCTTCTTTCCATAATTTGCTTATGATGTTGATGGGGTGCTTGGGTGCTTGTGCTTGTACTTGTACCCCAATTTCTCCCTAGTCTCAGAAACACTGTCTCTGACAACCACTCCCCAGCCCAAGGACACTATGCCTAGCATGGGCCTCAGCACCACCCTTATCTCTCTCCCTGGTGCAGCTATGCAAAGCTGGGTGAAAGAGTGCTGGGTGGTTCAGGCCCCAGCCCTCAGATCATGTCTCTGGAAGCCTCCCAATTCCTTAGTAAGTTCCTGTCTTGTGAGAAAGCTTTCCTTTGTTGCAGAACATTCTCTCATCAACACAGAGGGAGAAGGGTGCCTTGTCCAGCCCAAGGACTTTTCCTCCTGCCAGACTCCAAAGATCTATACCTCTGTCATCTCCCTCCCTGTATGGTATACTCCCTGTACTTTCTCATCCATAGCCCCCAAAGACACCTGCACCTTTGCAGGTGTCTTTCCCATATAAAACCTAGCTGCATTCTCAGTCTCTTGCAGGATCCTTTAAGAATTCTTGCCCACTGAAAAGCATAACAATAAACTTTGCCACCTTGGCTTAAAGAATGCTTGAGTCTGTGAATTCATTCCAGACGACCCATTGTGTACTTCAGTCTTTGAGGGGGCACAACCTCTCAACGTCTTAGACCGCAACAATGTGACCTTTTATATCTAATTCATATAACCATTTGTTGCCCATCTTGTTTTATGGTGAGAGGCGCTAATCTAACTCCAAGATTATTAACCTGGGGTCCATGAACTTGCTTTAAATTTTTTTTAAAAAACTACATTTCAATGTAATTATTTTTCTTTGTAATCCTAAGTATTAGCATTTAAAAATATTATTCTGAGAGCAGTGTGTAGGCAACAGCAGACTGCTGAAGAAGTCCGTGACACTGAAAAGGTTAAGAACTCCTAGTGTAAATATAAATTTTACCAGACTATTTCCAATTTTTTCCATCAGCTTTTTCATCAAACAGTGATGAATCTTTACCTTAGTAGACAGGATTCAAAGAACACTGACCTACTCTGCTAGTTTCCATTTGTATAATGTGTACCTAATCTATCTTTCTTATTGACCACTCTATTTCTTAACCAGTACCAAATAATTTTGATGGTTATAGCTTCATGGCAGAATTTGATATTTAGTACTGCTAGGTTCCCCTCCTTTCCACTTTTTTTTTCCATTATTTCACATGAGATTCATCTCAATGCTGATGATTTTGAGATTGATGTATCCAGTTCTAATTTCTCTGATGAGCATTAGTCCTGTATCACCAACTTTTTTTAAACATCTTCAACTGGAGTAAATAAGAATCTCAAACTCTGCATGTCCAAAACAGAATTCATCTTCCCTCATCGCCCGAACACTTGTCTTCTGAACTTCCCTATTACTGTAGAGGCAGCTACCACCTTCCCATTCACTCATGTAACTTTGGTGTCATCCCAGACTTCTCAACTCTCATTCACCCCAGTAACTAATCCATTGTCAAATCTTACAATTTTTACTTTCACAATATCTGTTTTATGGTCTCTTTATCTTCACTCACAGACACAATTCAAGTCCAGGCCCTCATTACTTCTTTTTCAACTATTGAAATAATCTTCTAATTGGTCTCCCTAACTAAAGCTTCTTGCACACTTTAACATGAACTCTAATACTCTCTACTCAGAAAATGATTTTTCTAAAGCATAGGTCTATGTCATCTCCCACCTCCGAACACACAGACACAGACCCCTCAGCTACTCTAGGATCAAATTAAAAAATCTTTCTGTTTGGCATTTCAAGCCCTTTATAACCTGGCTCCTTTCTACCCATCCTGTTTTCTAACACTGCTCCACTCTAGGCACACTATGATAAAGCAAGACTGGCCTGCTTGATGTCCCTTTAACAAGACACTCCATCTCCTGACTTGATGCTTTTGCATTAATTGTTTCCTATGACTGGAACACGCCCCCTCCTCACCTCTGCCTCCTGGAAGTCTCTGCTAAATTCCCACTTCTACGGGAAGCCTTTCCTGGTTCGCTTTAATTCTAGTGCCTTTCTCTGTAGACTATCTACGATTTAACCAGTATATATTTTGTTTGTACAGAGTTGTTTGCAACATTGTCTCCCAAATTAGATTGTGAGCTCCTGGAAAGCAGGGTCTGGTTTTTTTTTTTAACCTTTCTTTGTATCATCAGCAAACAGCACAACGCACCTTAATAAGCACATTTACTATGTACTATGTAGGGGGAGGGGGGTGGAGTGAAGGGTGAGGGAGTAGGGTACAAAGAAAGGGGGAAACAATCCCTGCCCTTAATGAGTTCACATTCTAATGGAGGGAGGCAACTTGCAAAAAAGGAGGCATGGAAAGGAGCCAAGGTAATCTTAGAGGGCACTGAAAGTTACGCTGACTCAGTGATCTATTGTTTCCAGGCCAGTTGGTCAAAAGCATTGGGGGAGGCTTCACCCAGTCTGCAGCTTTGTATTACCTGCTATTCATCATGTACCAAGTCACCCCTACCTGTTTGTGTACGCCTGACAATCATCACGTACTTGCTACCTTGAGATGCAATGACTCATCCCCCCCTTTTTTGTAAGTTTTAAAATTTATTTTAAACTTAAATACAAAACGAGAAAAGGAAAAAAAAACCACTGCTATGTACACAGCAGAACATGAGGATTCAATATTGTGAGAGTCAGGTAAAGGTTAAATTTCCACAGAGAAAGAAAATAATGCAGATATTTAAAGAACAAAAGTTCCAGGAAGTAGTACACTGTAGGTGTAGGTGTAGCCAGTAAAAAGTAAGTGGATGGTTCCAAAAAGACCCCAACATCAAGATAAGGCTCGAGCCAGCTCAGACCAGTTGGGGTCAGCCTGAAGACACCTGAAAAATGTTAGTGCGCCTGCGTAATGAACTTCATTACTATTATCTGACACACCCCGCATACAATTAGAGCCTCATTAACGAGTCATGGGATGTATGACCAAGGGAGGGGAAACATACTTGAGCATATAAAGGGGAAACATGTAAGGAAAGGTGTTTCGCGCTGAATTTAACTGTATAAAAGTATCTGCACCTTGACACTCAAGGCTCTTTCCTTCTGAAGAGGAGTGGAGCCCACTTCTGGCCAGAAACGTCTAAATCCTCTGGACTTTCTCTGTAATATTGATACTAAATTTTTGGCATCAAGTGCCTTTCTAACAATATAAAACAATAAATTTTCATTTCCAGAAAACCTATATAATAAATACTCCGCATTGTTTTCAAAGGTGTCAGCTTTTCATTGCTTTCTTGTAGGTTTTCTTTTGTTCTCAGCTGTGAACTTTTAACTTTATTTTTCCCCTCTCCCCAAGAAGGCTACAATGAATCGAGGATATATATATATATATATATATATATATATATATATATATATATATATATATATATATATATATGTATATATATATATATATATACATACATACATAGATATCCATAAATATAAACACATATACAAATATACACTCATATACTATGCTTATTTCCACTCGTCATCTGTTTCTCTGAAGGTGGACAGCACCTTCCTTCATATATGCCCAAGTCTTTCTATATTTTTCTAAATCAACCAGCTCATCATTTCCTATAACACAGCAATATTCTAATACAATCACATTCGATTTGAGAGATTATCTATGAAAGTTTCCCCCCAATTTTCTGCATTCCGTCTACTCTTGACTGCATAGGTTTTATTCACACAAGAAAATTTTAATTTAAAATAATCATAATTATCCATTTTACACTTCAGCAATGCTCACTTTATAATATAGTTTACTGTCTGATACTATTGAATTTGCTTCCTTCACATCTTTTTCCCTCTGGTGTTTTTGAACTCCTGACCTTTTGTTCTTCCAAATGAACTTTGTTGCTATTTTTCCTAACTCAGTAACCTATTTTTTAGTACTTTAATTGGGATGGCATTACATAAATAGGAGAAATCGTCATTTTAAAAATTATTATATTGTCTTTACCTACCTGAACAATAAATATTTCTTCAATTATTTAGATCTGACTTTATTCGTATAAAGTGTTTTATGTGCCCGTCCCTTTTTGCTGACATGGACTTATCAAGATGGCTCCATCTTGAATCTGTTGATCTCCAGTGGTCAGCCCGCCCAAGCTGTACTTTTAATAAACTTCTTAATTCTCTTTGTCCTAATTTTTATCTGCTTAATCAAGGGAAAGCCCGAACAAAAAATTTTCCTTTTAACAAAAGAAGGGAGTGGCTTCAGGAATAAGCAGAAGATTTTGGAGTCCTAGCACCTGGGTTCAAATCCCACTCCTGCTATTGACTGATTTCTTTCTTTCTTTTTATTTTCTTCTATCTTCAGCCCTTAGCAGTGTCTGGAACACAGTAAGTGCTCAATAAATGCTGAGTGATTTCTTGGCATCCTCAGCGCTTAACCCAGGGCCGGACACACAGTCAGGGATTAATAAACGCCTTCTGACTGACTGATGGACTGCATGGGTTTGAACCCCGCTTCCGTTACTAACTACCTGTGTGAGCCGGGGAAAGTCCTACACCCCAGTTCCTCAGGGACGACCACCCTCCCGGTCGGCTCGGCTCCCACGCCCAGAATCAGCGCCTGAGCGGGAATCTGACAGGAGCCGGGAAGCACGCTGCGTGCGTCGGGACGCCGGACGTAGGCGTCGCCTCGTGCGCGCGTGCGTGCCTTCTGTGGCGCGTGGCTGCCCCGCCCATCCCTGCTCGGGGGGCGCGTCCCAGACCGGACTCCCGCGCTGCAGGAGGGGCGAGCGTTTGTAGCTGTGGCCATGGGGGACTCCCCGCTCCGGACTCCAAGTTGAAGCGCGCTGGACTCGGGAAGCCCCTGACCCTTTCCCTCCCCACGGCTTTTTCACGGGGTCCCCCTCAAGCGGGAGGTAGGTAGGTCTGAGAAGGATCTGCAGGGCAAGATGGGAAATTTAATTCCGCCATCACCGTCCTTTTCCCGGGGAAACTGAGGCACGGATCCGGGGCCGGCTCCCCAGTCGGCGCCCTAACGGGGGGCGACGCTCGCTGCCCCGCGGGTTTTCCCCGGGCTCGGGCTTCCATTGGAAGTGCTGGCCTGCGGGGCTGGCTATGCGGTTGGCTCCGGGCGCGCAGCGTTGGGGGGGTGCCCCAAGTCCCCCGCCTTCGCCGTCCCGGGGCCGGCTCGCGTGGGGGAAGGCAGCAGGGAACAGTCCCTCATTCAGCCCAGTAACTTTTATTAAGCTCCAACTGTGGTCCCTGCACTGTGCTATGAGCTGGGGATGGATGCCAAGGCATCAGTTATTCAGCATTTATTAAACTCTGACTGTGTGCCATGTACTGTGCAGTGTTCTGGGCATACAAAGCAACAGTTCCTGCCCTTAATGGGCTTACATTTTAGTGGAGGCACAGGAGGGAAGGTCATCTTAAAGGAAAAGGCAGGAGCAAAGGAATTGGAGTCAGGACTTGGCTCCAAATCCCTACCCCTGCTTACCCACAGACATATTAGCCGTGTGATCTTTGGTAAGTTACTTAACAGCTTCGTGCCTTGGTTTCCTCATATGTAAAATTATATTAGATGGCTTCTAAGGTACATTTTAGTTCCAGTTCTGTGCTCTGCCATGATTCAATTAAATTGAATAAACATTAACCGCCTACTGTGTGCCAGGCACTGTGTTAGTCCTTGAAATACAAAAAGAAGCAAAAGGCAGTGGCTCCCCCCACGGAGCTTACCATCTACTGGGTTACTAGTTTCCTTGGGCTTCTTGTGACCCTGGGCAAGTAACTAAACCGCTCTGGATTTTAGATTTGACTTCTATAAAATAGGTTGAATCATTATTTATTGGTGAGGCCTCTTCCAACTTTTAATTTCCTAGGAGACCTACCCAGGGAGGTTACCTTATGTAAGGTGCTTGGTTTTGTGGAACTTGGAATAACAACTGCCTTGAGTTATCCTGTATTAAATTCACCTTTTTTATGAAAAAGTTGAGAGGAAAGGGACTTTGTTGACAACATGTTGAGTGATGTAATGGAAAGAACAGTGGATTTCAAGTTTGGATGGTAAGAAGACTGGCTCAAGTTTTGGCTCATTGTGACTTTGGGCATCATTGGAGCTTTTTGATTAAGGCATCGTTCCCAACATTTTTTGTTCTGTGTGAATTCCTTTCAACACCAAAAAAAAAAGAAGTATCATAAACTTGTAGGATGATTTAATGTACGACTCACTGTCTTAGATTTATGCATGAAGTGCTTACAGTAACTACAGTGATAACTTTTGCCCCTCAAAACTCCAAATCACTTCGGAAACTCAGTATATTTAAAGCATGCATATACTTGTCACAAGGGAAAATATATTTGTAACATAGTTTGGCATTTATTTACTGCTTAAAACACTGTGAAAGAATTTTTATCATGAACCATTTGGACCATCTTTCCTAACCCTTAAATGGGAAACACTGTATTAGGGAAATGACATGGTCAGATCTGAGATTTTGGAAAATCATTTTAGCCAATGTTTCAAGTATGCTTTGGTCTCTGGCAGGGAGACCAATTGGCAGGCTGTTGAAACACATCTATCTGGGGAGGATTTGAACCAAGGGAGGTGATCTTTGAGAAAATAGAGAATGATATAGATGTAAGAAATGTAGGAATTGAGCAAAGTCCATTGAATTTTGAAATCAAGAGACAGTTAAATTAGTAACTTGGAGAAAGCAGTTTGAAAGAAATGACTGAAGTTGCAGTCTAAGGATTTAGTAGAGGAAATGAAATCAGTTTAAGGTAATTTTTTCTTGGAATTTGGCTTTGTTTGGGAGGTAGGTAAAGATTGCTAATGGATTAGCTTGAGGGGATGAGGCTTTTTTAAAATGCATAAAGTTATTCTGGTTTTAAGTATCTTACTAACGAAAAGCTTTAGGACTTGATTTTTAATAATAATAGCTGATAAGGAATACTTTAAGGTTTGTATATATGTTACCTTGTTTGATCCTTCCTACACTTGGGAGGTCCTTGCTATTCCCATTTTACTGATGAGGAAACTAAGGCTGTGCCCAGGGTCACCCAACTAGTAAAGGGACTAAAGCAGGATTTGAGCAAGTTTTTCCAGACAGCAAGTCTAATACTCTATATACTGGGCCACCTAGCTGTAAGTTTTAACTAAGTATAAATGGAGGATCTGTGCTCTCATCAGTATGAATGTTCCTGCCATTACATTCATACCTGCCTATTCTCTTATTATTCTCTTCCATATCCCATAACTGTGACACAGTAGGTCTATTCAACAGGCTACAGGCCTGAGCAGTTTATCCTTGCCACATGACCAACACCTCTTGTGTTCTTGTCATAAGATTCAGTTATTTCCAAACTAGTTACTTGTAATTTAATTTGCAAGATGGAGAGTTACTCCTATTTACAGAACTTAGTTGCCTGGGGCACTGAGAGGTTAAATAGCTTGCCCTGAGTCAGATAACTACTATGTGTCTGAAATAGGCTTTGAACCCAAGTTGTCCTAATTCACCTCTCTATCATAATTTATTAATTCAGCATCATAATTTCATGCATTAATCATAGTTATTGCCAGTTTCTTTTTTTTAATAGTCATCATCCCATTTGAAATAACCAGTCAGTGATTGCAGAGAGTAAATCAAATGTATTAGGTAATTTACTGACTTCCTACCATGCCTTAGTTATAGTTTAGTACCAGGAGTGGAGAACCTGCAGCCTTGAGGCTGAGTGTGGCCATCTGTTCTTAGTTCAAGGAAGAGCTAGAATGTAGCCAATTAACATTTATTTGTGTTTGTGTTTAAACTGAGGTCTTATGTTAGGAATTTCTCCAAGTAAGAGTTTCAATTATTTTAGAATTTTAAGTTCACTTCACTATGTGAAGAGTGCTATTTGTCTGCTGGGTTTTTGTGATTGTTTGGTTAGTTTTTTTTTTTGTTTCGGGCCTGTGATTTTATTAGTGTAGAAACTCTCCCAATTATAGACTGGCCAACTTCTTTGTTATAATTTTAGAAAGGTGCCTGATGCATTAAGTAGTTAAATGATTTATTAGCTTTTGTGATCACAGGCTTATGTCAGAGGCAAATCTTGAATCCAGGCTCCAAAGCTGGCCTTCTATCTACTACACCACCTTGCCTCTCAAGATGCAGATTAGTTAGAAAAAGATTTTATTTTTTAAAATGTGTTTTAAGATTCTTGGTAAAAAATCTTAACACAGTGACTTCTTTGCTTTTTTTTTTTTACCTGTAGTACCTACCTCAGAGGGCTAATATGAGAATCAAATGAGATAATGTGTATAATGCACTTGGTAATTCTTAAAGTACTATATACTGATCCTTTTTCTTTTTTCTTATTTTTTAATAGAACCTCCAAAATGCAGACCCCAAGCACTAGATCTCTGCATTTGAGTGAATGGCAGAAGAATTACTTTGATATCACCTCTGGCACCTGTACTCCAAGCCAGAAGGCAGATGCCTTCCGTGCACAGATTTTACGGATTCAGTATGCACTGGCAAATTCTGAGATCTCCCAGGCTTGTGCTACGAGACTCTTCAGAAAATATGCAGACAAATACTCTGCAATTATTGACTCTGACAATGTAGAGACTGGCTTGAATAACTATGCAGAAAACATTTTGACTATGGCAAGGTGCCAGCAAACTGACAGTGGCAAGTGGCAATCTGGATTAACAATAAATAATGTTTTCAAATTAAATGGTGTGCAAGAGATGATGCAGGCTGGCAGAAAGTTCAAAGATTCTCTGTTGGCACCAGCAGATGCATCAGTAGTAATCCATAAGGAGGTCAGTGCCTTTGGTTTTTCTAAACCCAAACCTAATTGTACAGAACAGACATTAGGCATTCCAAAGAAACCAGCATCCTTGATCCACCCTCAGAATAGTCAACTGCCCATTATTACCAAAACTACAGATGATTTTCCTGCATCCTCAGTGCCTTTAGATGAACTGCCCAGTGCAAAGTTCCATGTTACTCCATTATTTGGAAATGTCAAAGTGGCAAGTGATACTACAAAAGCCAATACGGCGGCATTAAGCATGTCATTGAATCAAACCTTTTTTCATTCTGGGTATGTAAATCCTGGGAAAAAGAAGACATTTTATGATTCTGGCAATGATGGCATTGAAGCCATTTCTAATCCCACACTGAATAATACTCTTAGTAACACAGAAGCCAGTGGCCACAGGGTTGAGAACAGCCTGTCTAATTTTAAAACTGCAAAAGAACAGCTATGGATAGATCAGCAAAAGAAAAGCCACCAACCCCAACGTACACCAGGCGTTTCATATGGTGGAGTAAAAAAATCTCTGGGAGCTGGCAGATCTCGGGGAATATTTGGGAAGTTTGTTTCTCCCCTAGCCAGACAAGATGGTAGAGATGAGAAAGGAGGAATGCAGTGTAAACCTCATGGGACTGTGCCTACAGAACCAGCTCATCCAGTTGATGAACGTTTGAAGAATCTAGAGCCAAAGATGATCGAACTTATTATGAATGAGATCATGGATCATGGCCCACCAGTAAACTGGGAAGACATAGCAGGAGTTGAATTTGCTAAAACCACAATAAAGGAGATAGTTGTTTGGCCTATGTTGAGGCCAGACATCTTTACTGGCTTACGAGGGCCTCCCAAAGGGATCCTGCTCTTTGGTCCTCCTGGAACAGGTAAAACCCTAATTGGAAAGTGCATTGCAAGTCAGTCTGGGGCAACATTCTTTAGTATCAGTGCTTCTTCCTTGACTTCTAAATGGGTGGGTGAAGGAGAGAAAATGGTTCGTGCCCTGTTTGCCGTTGCAAGATGTCAGCAGCCAGCTGTGATATTTATTGATGAAATTGACTCCTTGTTGTCACAGCGTGGAGATGGTGAGCATGAGTCTTCCAGAAGGATAAAAACTGAGTTTTTAGTTCAGTTAGATGGAGCAACCACATCTTCTGAAGAACGTATTTTAGTGGTGGGAGCAACCAATAGGCCACAAGAAATTGATGAAGCTGCTCGGAGAAGATTGGTAAAGAGACTATATATTCCACTCCCAGAAGCTTCAGCAAGAAAGCAGATAGTAAAAAATCTGATGGCCAAGGAGCACTTTTGCCTTAGTGAAGAGGAAATATGCCTGATTGTTAAGCAGTCTGATGGATTCTCTGGAGCAGATATGACACAGCTTTGCCGAGAAGCTTCTTTAGGTCCTATCCGAAGTTTACAGACAATTGACATTGCCACAGTCACGCCGGACCAAGTTCGACCAATAGCTTTTGTTGATTTTGAAAATGCTTTCCGAACTGTGCGCCCGAGTGTGTCTCTAAAAGATTTGGAACTGTATGAAAACTGGAATAAAACTTTTGGTTGTGGAAAGTAAATGAATGAAATGAAACTTGAGGCAGCTATTTAATATATATTTTTAAAACTTGGGAGCCAGAAATAGTTTATTTTTAGCAAATTTGGAGTTCTTGGTATTGCCTGCTCCTAATCTCCCACATTTTTCATGATGAAATATCCTTTGATTTTTTTGATGTAAGTACATACTTTAATTCTCTCTAATCGTTAAATGATAGTTGAGGCCTACATGCCCAAAATGAGAATTAGATTTATCTGTTTTTGAGATTTTATTTGTTTTGAAGGGACAACTCTAAAAGGAATAGGACGTTTAAAATGATTTTTGAAAATCTGAAGATTGTATTTGTGTATGAAGCTTTCCTTCAGTCACATCTATCTTGTGTTTAGGAATGGAATGCCTTTTTAGGAGGTCTTATTCTTTAATGTTTTCTTAATAGAGTGGTAAAATCTAGATTAAAAAAAAAGTTAAGAAACTTAAATCACAGCAAAAAAAGCTACTCACCAGAATCAGTACCAGCTATATGTTTTGGCCCTTACAGTTTATAACCCAGCCTCTATTTCTGTTTTCTTCCCTCAGCATGATGGGCTTTAAAAGATAAAAATATTTAATATTATAATTTCAGGGGCATGTGGAATTTTGTTTTTGCTGCAGCTGCTAGATGTTTGAAAAGAAATAAAGTTTCTATAGTAAAAATATGTAATGATAGCAAGGAATGATTTGGAATTAGAACTATTTCTGTAGTGTGACATGATAAAAATAACATTGAAGGTGGTCAGTACTTAGAAAAATATTTTGTCAGATAGGAAATTGATCTTTGACACTTTACACCTGTCGCAATGTTTTCTTTCAGAAGTAAATATTTTGTGTATCTTTTGTAATGATGGATTTAAAAATGTGAATTTTGGGATAAGGTAGAAGAGCAAAAAGATTTGTTTCTTCTTGCCTATGGGAAAAGTACCTTTTTGGCTTAAAAAAAAAGAATGCCTTTGTTTTATTGGAAAGTTATTTAGTATTTTGTATTAGCAAGTATTTTAGGTAATATCAAAACCAGAGTATAGTTCTTGATGATTACCCAAGTCTTCGAAACTAGGTATTTTCTGTGTAGGAAAAAAAAGAAATAAATTATGGACCAAACCAGCATAGAATACTTGACATTCTGAGTTCCTTTTCCTAGGAGGGGTAAAAATTTTTTATTGCTATTTCTATCCTTATGTGGAGTCATTTCCTACCTCACCCTCTCTAGCCCTGATTGAACCCTGTCTTGTGAAGAAAAAAGAAAAAACCAGTGAACGAAAACATTTGATGCTAAAACTATTTGACAATGTATTGGATGTCATGTTATAGGCTACTTATGCCACAAGGTGGGGGTGTGTTTTAGTGTCTCTTTAGTGTTTTTCCATTACTCCCAAGTATAACTTCCTTTCTGTAGTCTTTTTATTGCACCATTTTAGTCATTGTGTGTATTGTTCTAAGTTCTGCTTATTTTGCTTTGCATCAATTTCATTTTCCCATTTTTCTCTTAATTCCTTATATTTGTCATTTCTTACTGTGGTTTTTTCAGCCATTCTTCAGGTGATGGAACACAATTTCCAGTTTGTCACAACCACAAGAAATGCTGCATTGACCATTTTGGTGTGTGTGGGACCTTATCTTTGACTTTTTTGTGGTAATACTTGTTTTGCATAATTCTGAATTAAACCAGGGCAGTTGTACGACTCTTTCAACAGTGCCTATGGCTTCCCCCAGCCACTCCAAAATTGATTATTCCTTTCCTTTCCTTTTTGCATGTTTGCCAGTTTACATGGAATGAAACTTAAGAGTTTTAATTTCCATTTCTCCTGGTTTTAGGATTTTAGAGTCTACTTACATGTAGTCATTTATAGTCTACAAGTTTTCATTTGAAAACTTTAGTGTCCTTTGGGTAATGGCTTTTGGTAATGTTTGTCACTTCCCTTTATATTTTGAATATCAGATTTTTAATTTTATGTAATCAAAATTGTCTGAATTCTTTTATGATCTCCTGTCCTTTGCTTAGGAATTCTCTAATCATAGTTTTGTAAAGTACTTGATGTTTTCTGTTTATTTTTTATCTTGTGACCCTTTATATTCAAGTCATCTGTTCATTTTAGATGTACTATTGATTGTGTTGTAAGATGATAGTTTAATTCTCATTTCTGCCACGATGCTTTCCAGCTTTCCTGGTAGTTCATGTAAAAAAAGTTTTTCCCCAGTAATTTATCTTTTTGGGTTTGTCAGACATTGAGCTATTGTTTTCCAGAACTCCTTTCTCAATAGCAAAAATACAGCTTCTCAACTTCAAATCACAGTGTTGATAATAAAGCTCTGTAATTTTTATATGCTCTGTGGAAGATTACCTCTTACCTGGCCATCTCTGTGGCATCCTGCTGATCTCCAGCTTACTTCTTCTGGACCTCAGGCTCCCATCCCATAGGTCTATGGGGTCTGACTAATGATCTTTCACCTTATCTTTCTTAAATCTAGGTATAGTAAAACTAATGAGCTTTATGAATTGAGTTTGACAAAAGTATGTAGTGTTCCATACTTTTAGACCCCTACTTGCAATGAAGGTAGCTAAATGCATTCTTTTTCTTTTGCAGGTCAGCTTAGTGATAATTATTCAGCACTGAGTTTTGTGTTTTTGCTCTTTCCATTTCCATTGTTTTAATTGTATGTACTTCGCTGCATTGATTCATATAAGTCACATGCTTCTCTGAATTTTTGATATTCATTGTTATGAAACAGTGATAATCTTTTACATTTGTGTTCTGAGTTTTAGCCTTTTGATGGGCATATACTATGTTTGGGGCAGCTAGTTGGGGCAATGGATAGGATGCTGGGTCTGGAGTCTGGAACACTTGAATTCAAATCTAGTTTCAGACACTAGCTGTATGACCTGGGCAAAGTACTTAACTTCTGTTTACCTCAGTTTCCTCATTTGTTAAATGAGGATAATAATAGCATTAACCTTCCAAGGGTGTTGTGAGGGTCAGATGAGATAATTTAAGTGTTTAATACAGTGCCTGGCATATAGTACCATACAAATGTTAGCTATCATTATTATCCTGTTTCCAAATTGAACAATTCCTACAAGCCATGTCATCCAACTTCTTTTAGTGTCTTTTCCACTGATAAAGCTATATCTGTTTCTCATGTTATTCCATTTGATGGTGCCAAAAACTGGTGGTGAGAATTTTCTGGGTCTTGATTAGGAGTTGTGGCTCCTGATGAGGAAGGGGTAGGGTCTGCAATACCTGTAGAGGTAGTTGCCAGATTTTATTTACGAGATTTTTCTGAATGATGGGTGAGTGAGGGGTGGGGAAGGAGAAGGTGAAATGAGAAGGGTAGATCACAGCTCTTCCCAGGTCTCTTTGGCTTGCCTTACAGGTGACGTAAGTGAAGAAAACAAGTGGATGAAGAATGCCTACTGGCTAGTCTGATCTGTTGTATCAACATTTATCAATAAAGTGCATAATGCTGTTCTGATAAATAGGTAGATTGGGAAAGGGATTGGACTTGTAATTTCATTGATATGGGAAACTACTGGGTGAGGAATGACTAATGCAGGTTGGCACCTTCTCTCAAGGGCAGGTAGGTAATGTGGTGGATAGAGCAAAGGTTGGAGTTAATCAGGAAAACCTGATTTCGGATTTGGCCTTAGAGGCCTTAAACACGTACTAGCTGTGTGACCATGGGTAGGTCACTTAAATCTGTTTGTCTCAGTTTCCTCATATGTAAAATGAGCTGTAGAAGGAAAGGATAAACACAAGAAAACCCCAAATGAAGAGTTGGACATGACTGAACACAAACCTCAAACTTATAGTCTTAGGCTGCTTAGCGCAGAACGGTTAAGTGATTCGCATGGGGTCATACAGCCAGTATGTGTTGGAGACAGGATCTCTCTTCTCTACTCTCTCCCTTCCTCTCCCTCTCGTAGCAGGATTGCTTTGGGGAATTTGTATAGTGTATTTAAAAATCCCAAATTTATCTCTGAAACAAAGCCTCATCTTTCTAATACTACTATTCTGGCAATTCCAGCTGATGTGGGGGCATTAGCATATCTGCATTGGTAGAGAAAATTTCCTCACTGAGAGCTCCTGACACTGATGAAATTATAGTTATGATTTTAAAAAAATCTGGTGCTGTATTACTAAATTATGTAATATTACAGTCTCCAAAGAAGTTAAATTTTGAGATGCCAAAAACGGAGAGGCTTTTGTCTACAACACATTACAAAGTAAGAATTAAATAGAAGTGACATAAAGGATATGGACAGATGCACAATCAAAAATATTGGTCATATAGTAGGAGCAAGACATAACCAATGAATAAAGTGCTCTGTTGTTAACTTGTGGAGGATTTACAAGAATTGTACAGAATTGGCAGATGTAGATAGGTTGTGATGTACATCACTGAATGGAGGATCCTCATCTGTGTGATCACAGATTCATTTAAAAAAGTTACATATAAGATATATGCATATTATATATAGACAAGTTATTAATTTACATTAGAAATTGAGTAATTTCTCATATTTTTACTTCAGCCTTTTCTTTAGTCTTGTGATTTACCTTAGAATACTGATTTTTGCTTAATTTATTTGAATGTTTTTTATCATCACTTTTTCACATGAGGACGTCTCTTGGTAAAGCACATACCTTCCCTTTCCTCCTACATTTACTTTATTTCTCATAACTGATTTGGTTGTTGTACAGCATTTTAAAATTGTATCAGTACTTTTCTCACTTTAAAATTTTTCATTGCTTTTGTTTGTATTATTTAGAACAATTTTTCTCTTTCATTTTTCTGTTTGCCTTTTTTATTTATGTAGTGAGGAACTTGTATCCTTTTCTTTCTTTTTTTTTTTTTTGGTGAGGCAACTGGGGTTAAATGACTTGCCCAGAGTCTCACAGCTAGTGAGTATTGTATGTCTGAGGCCAAATTTGAACTCAGATCCTCCTGAATCCAGGGCCTGTGCTCCATCCACTGCACCACCTACCTGCCCCTGTGCTTGTATCCTTTTCATCCTCACACTTTGATATCTTGGATCAGTCTTCCTGACTTTTCCTAGAAGGATTAAACCAAGGAAAATTATTATTGCTATTATTTTATCCCTGGCTTTGAAATCTCACCACTTTTCTTGTTTTCTTAAGAAAGAGACATGAGGCAAAGGGGCAGTTAGGTGGCGCAGTGGATAGAGCACTGGCCCTGAAGTCAGGAGGACCTGAGTTCAAATCTGGCTTCAGACTAAACACTTGGTGCTTACTAGCTGTGTGACCCTGGGCAAGTCACTTAACTCCAATTGCCTAAAATTTTTTAAAAAAAATTTAAAAATTAGAGACATGGGGAATAGTGGGACTATCAGGATAAAAGGTCAATAACATTATTAGAAGTGAAATTAAACATTTATTGGTTATCTACAATGTGTGAGACATTCTTCCAGGTCCTTAAGAATGAAAATCTGAAGATGTGTAAGACAGCCCTTGCCCTCAAGGAACCTTTCTTTTGAAGTGGGCCAGTTACATCATGGGTGATATCTTGTGCATGAACTGGATTTAAGTGAGGCAGAATTGTGTGAAGTCTTCAAACTCTCTGTTCCAAGGTCATCAAGGTTCATGGCAAGATAAAAGAATGATTGGCAATGGCATGGGATGCAGTGGATGACCTTGGCATCTTGGATGTCTGACCAATGTCTAAGCAGTCCCCAGCACCTGATTCAGCCGCCTTCATGGGTGTTGGAACAAATTGTTCTTGTCTGCCCATTCCACCAGGAGAAGTCTTCACATGCTTGGAGAAGATGTCCCCCAACTCGGTAATAGTTTTGGGATCTGTCGGTTACTCTCAACCTGGTTTAGCCTGTCTGCTGAAATGGTTTTACTGGGGTGGGGCTGCTGCACATGCTACAGCTTCTTGGAGCCACAGGTGAGAATTGGGTGATAGGTGGAGACCAAAGGTGGATGATCAGCCCTGAAAAGGGCTCAGCCAGCCCTCACACCAGAGGTGCTAGTTTTCCCTGAATACCCTGTGCAAGGAATCTACAACTTAGTAAAATTAAAAAAAAATTATTAGGAAAAAATTCCATAGGATAAAATTTGCCCTCCAAAAATATATATAATTTCCTCTTTTTTTTTAGATAAGAAAGTCACAGAATGAAAGAATTTACCTTGCCTGTTCCCTCTTGGGAACTGAACACCTTACTTTCCAAATCTGGAATGATAGAAATATTTATTGATTATCTTTTCCTATCTCTATGACTAACGTAACAAGATATTTATTCTGTGCCTTTTGATTTAAAATAATGTTGAGTGTATTTTACCTGAACAGTTGAACAATTCTTTTTTTGATAGTAGTGGATGGGTTGAGTTTGTTGGAGAGAGCAGAGCAGAAAGAGAAAGGAGGTAGTTGTGAATTGCAATCTCTTATCTATTAGCTACAGTATGTGATGTGAATCAACAGTGCAGCAATAAGCCTCTTGGAAGAAAAGTAGGCATCTATATGCATATGAGAAATGGTCTTTGAATTTCACTGACAAAAAAGTGGTCAATATAGTGAAAAAAGTCCCGTGTTTTGTTGCATTTATAAAGGATTTAGGCTTCATTTAAAAGCAGCAATCATAGAAATCACTATCCAGGATAAATAGTTATTCATCAAATTACAACATGAGCTTGAGCATCTTAATTACCTTAAAATAACTAATAGGTGAATTTAGGATATGCTTTATAAGAACCAGAATTTTCTGAAATTCATTTTACAAAGGAATCTGCTGGCATTCCAGTAGTTACTGAAGAATTGGATAAATTCTATTATTCAGGATTTGGTTGGATTGAACATAATGCTGAGCTTTCTTTCATATATGAAAAAAAAATGCAGTGCCAATATGTTTCATGAATTAATATGATGATGCAACTCCAAAATGGAAGACAAGCTTCTGGAAATATAATTTCACAAAATACAGAAAATTGCTACAAACGAGGGTATGATTGCAATTTAAGAGAAATGGAGCAGATAAATGTCTTTTAATGGTTTGGCTTAGTAGATGCAAGAAAATAAAATACTCCATTATTTATTCCTTTTGGCTGGCTGAACTTATCAGGGGGAAAACCCACAGGATGTCTAGTCTCTGGTCATGCACATAAAATTGAAGAATCCCTTTTTTCCCCCTCTGAAACAATTTTGGTAGCTTTCAAAGATATAATACTACTTAATAATTAAAATAATTTAGGAGGGTGTTTCTCTTTTTCTTTTTGTTCAATTATTTCCTACATTCTAGTCAAATGAGTTCCCTCCAAGACGTTATTGATAGTGATTTCACTCAACAGTAATTAGGGTAACTAGAAGGGGCAGAAAGGAGATCATAGATAAACTAGAATGGATCTTAGGGATTAACTAATCAAATCTGATTTTACAGCTAAGGAAACAAAGAGATGGAAAGGGGAAAATGCCTTGCCTAAGATCAGCTTGATGTGACTCCCTTAGGGACTGTCAGAAAAGAAAATGGAATCTGACTAACCCCAATACTTTTGAAAAGGGTACAAGTGGTCTAGAGTCAGTTAAAGTGATTTTTCTTTACTTGGACACCTCTGAAATCCCGTCATCTGTATTATGAACTATCTGTAGGCTTTGAGGAACTTAATTTAGTAGAAAATAATACTTCCTGCTCTGGGCCATAGGCAGTGAAAATGACTAAGGTAATCAAAAGTTAGAAATGAAATTCCATTTGAGAGACTTTTCAAATTTTAAACTACTTTTTTAAAAAAA